AGGCGTGTAGATGACCACTCACTGGGTTACAGGCCCTTGTACCGCAGAGCCACAATGGAGGTGAATATAAACACCATATGTTTTCTCCGGATGCCACCTCCCAGACATCTGAAATGTTTTAGAGCTACAAGTCTAGACATCAACAAACGTCCGCAGGTGAGGGAAGATCTTCGTACTAAGGAAAGCTCGTCAGGCATTCCAGGCCAGACTTGGGTCTTAATGAGTGGGAGGATTTACGGGTTGCCTGCTGCACAATTAGTCGAGAGAGAGCGAGCGAGCGAGAATGATCAGATGGATTTTTTTTTTGGAGGGGAAGGGAAAAAAAGGACAAAGGAGGGGTTTTGTGGGAGCATGCACTGTGTGAAAGTAGCTGGGTTTTGGGGGAGAAAGTCGCGAGAGTTCAGGACAGATGATCCTGCGGATCTCCAATTCCTCATTCATTTCTTGGAAATATGCTCCATTGCAAAAACCTTGAGGTGTTGTGTGTTTTTTGGATGTTTGGACAGAAAATGGCAGGGGACACTGTTCAGTGCAGCCTTTTTCAAAACATCTTCTATGTTCACCAATACGTTTACGGAGTGGGCAGATGGTGCGGCCAACATATAGGAGCTTGCAAGGGCATGTGAGAGCATAAATTACGTGATCATGAGCACGTGATAAATTGTGTGATGGGAAAAGTATTCCCGGAACTGTCTAGGAAGGATGATTGGCCATGGGTAATGAACTGGCAGGTGAGGCATAAGCGTTTTTACATTTATAGAACCCAGTTCTGCTACTGAAGGACGTTTGTTTGGGTTTTTTGGTACAAAGTTTGCTGGGTGCCACAATGTTTTTCACACTCCGGGCCTTTTTGAAGACCACGGAGGGTTTTGGTGGGAGTGTAGAGCCTAATTTGGGGTCACAAAGAAGTGCCACTTTTTTCTGAGGATGGTCTTGTATCTGTTGTTGAAGGGGGTGATGAAACATGCTGTGTTTTTGAAGGGATTGGCGGGTTGTTTGGGGGACAGTGATTTGTTACTTGGCGTGATGAACTGCTTACGGGCCTTTGAGATTAGTTTTTTTGGGTAACCCTTTTCTAGGAATTTGTTTTTTAGGAGATGACTTTGCGTGAGATAATCATCTTTGCTTGTGCAATTTTTATTAATTCTGCAGAACTGGCCTTTCGGGATGTGATGAATCCAAAAGGGGGTGATGACAGCTCTTAAAGTGGATGTAGGAGTTTTCGGCAGTGGGTTTAAAGTGTGTTTTGGTAATGATTTTCCTTTTGTCGTGTGTGAGCTCGAGGTCTACGAAGACGAGTTGCAATTTGTCAGCTACGTGGGTGAATTTGAGTCCTGATGGGTTGGCATTGCAATGTGCAAGGAAATTGATGGTGGCAAAGGGGGCCATCCCATATGATGATGTTGTCAATGTATCTGCCGTAATAGACCAGGTGCCTGGCAAAGGGGTTGTTGAACCAAATGTGAAAATGTTCCCAATGGCCCATGGTGAGATTAGAACTGGGGGCATAGTTCACTCCCATGGCTGTGCCTTGGATTTGCAGATAGAATTTCTCTAGGAAGACAAAATAATTGTGTTCCAAGGTAAACCTGGTGCAGTTGTCAGGAACTTACACAGCCGCGGCGTCTGGTCCGCAGATCAGGGCCCCTCCTCCAGCGCCGACGTCACGCTACACCCACTGAACGGCGCTCCCTCGGTAAAAGCGAGGGAGATTCAATTGCTCGGCGTTCAGTTAATGGAGACTGTATGTGGAGCAACTGCTCTCCTGCTCGCTGCACGAACTTCCCCACAAGAACCAAGGACTTCATACCTCCTGAGAGGGATTTGATCAGAAGGAGCCTCTACCTCCCCCTGTATCTCTCCTGCCTTCTAAATCACAAGTAGTAAAGACTATACTGTGTATACTAGCCTGGGCTATCTGCGCTGCCACCTAGTGGATTGAACTGTTATTACAACCTGCAAGTTATAGACCAGAGGTGGCGAACCTTGGCACTCCAGCTGTTTTGGAACTACATGTCCCATGAAGCATTGCAAGGCTCTGACAGCCACAGACATAACTCCCAGAGGCAGATGCATGTTGGGATTTGTAGTTTTGGCACAGCTGGAGTGCCGAGGTTCGCCACCACTGTTATAGACTATCATTCCTTCATAGTTGCTCACTGGTATATCTCACAGTAACCTGCGTGTATATTTAATAGAAGAACTACCCTGAATATAAACCTCACCTATGAGAATAATATTGTGGGGAACTACTTTGTTAACCGTGTATGCTGAAATACACTGGGAGTTGTTTAATCATACAGGTGGTATATGATGTTTGTAGGAGCTGCGCCCCCTCACCGCACCTAAGAGGGTCATAGCAGCCTCCTCAATCTAAACCATCTCCTAATCAGAGTGAGTTGTGCCCTAAGATCCCTAGTTGAGATCCATCAACAGTGGGTAGACTGTTACAGCAGTTTAGAATGAATTGGGCTTGTTTGGAATGAAGTTCAGGTTGTTGTGACAGGTAGTATGCGAGTGCCTGTAGGCTTACTTCATGGGGGGTGGAGGTGTAGAGGGAACACACATCCAGGGATACCCAGTGGTAAGTGGGTTCCTAGGTGTAATCTAGAAGGGTTTCGATGAGGTGGCTGGAGTTCCTAAGGTATGAGGGTAATTAAGTGACTATTGGCTGTAAAAAATGGTCAACGTACCGGGATAAGCCACTGGTGAGACTATTGATGGTGTTGTTTTTGTGGATTTTTGGTAAGCGATTTAAAAAAAAAAAATGGTGTTTTGGGTCGGGCGGGGCATAAAGTTAATCTTTCTTTTTTTGTGATCATCTTCTCCTCCAAGGCTTGTTCGGGGAGTATCTTCAGGGGGATGAGGAAGTGGGGCAGTGGGTCCGTGTCTAATTTTGTGTAAGTGGAGGTGTCGGCTAAGAGTCGAAGAGCTTCTTTAGTGTAGTCCTTGCGATTTTGGATTACAATTCCGCCACCTTTGTCTGCTTGTCGAATGGCGATGGATTTGTTATTTGTTAGCTCTGAGTGCTTTGCGTTCAGGGATGGTAAGATTGGCTTTGTGTCGGCGTTTGGGGTCTGATGTAATATGACACTTAAATGCATTCTAAGGTAGTGCTACTGTAATTTGCACTGGTTCATTGGAGGGGCTTTTGCCCTTTCTCACAATAAATTGTCAGGTTGTACATTCTCATGGGTCCTCAAAACTACACCATAAAAGCAATTTTATTTTTTTGTTGAACTTCAGAATACAACAACTCTAATACAGGCTATAAACCAGCAGTTCTGGATGCACCATTGGCCAAAGGGGAATAAAGGAATTTATTTGCAAGGCTCCACCCAGTATCCTAAATGTGAAAAAATTCCCCTATTGGGATCTGTGATGGAATGAAATATACAATTATGTTTTTTTCTAAAATAGACAGAATACAGCATTAGTAAGATTCTGGTGCATGAGTAAATTATTTTATTTTAACTCCATGTATATTGTTCAAAAGATGTAATAGAAAAAAAAAAAGTTTTTTCTAGACCTGAATAGCCTTAAAACCTGATTGGACTGATTCACTCAATTGGATCTCTTAATGCTGTCCCCAATTATGAGCTGAATGAGCAGAAAGAAAGTGTTAGATGTGAAAGCTAGCTTTTGAGCGATCAACATCTGTAAAGACGGTGGGAAGAGAAGTTACAAACTGCAAATTCTTTTATTTATAAAGATTTTAGAAAGTATTAAGAGTATAATTTGAATCCCTACCTTCAGTATAAGTTAAGCCAACACTCGTCATAGGTAAGCCATTCCACTGCATCACTAGGCGAACATATTATGCATAATGCAGGCCCTCCTTAACATCTTGTATTGATTTGTATTGTAACTGAAATGTCTTCCTTATAGTGTAAAGTGCTACACAAATACCGCAACAAAACCGAAATTTAAAAAAATGTCAGGTCGAAACCTCAAATGTTTATTTTCTAACATTTTAAAATGTTTAAAATATTTTAATTTTTATGAAGTATTTGTATTTTTTACTTTATTGTTGGGGGCTTCGAGGAAATACTAATATTTCCCTTTTAGAATAGAAAAGATTGAGAACAGAGTCCTTCTTATTCTGCAGCCCCTGTTATAAATGAACAGGAATCCTCTATACTTGTGTTCCTGTTCATTCATAACTTGTGGAGATAGTATTTTTACCATGTCCACAATAATGAACGAAAAGGCAGTGATGTAGATCATTCATTATTGGGGACACAGTAAACATACTTTGTCCTCAATTGTGACAGGAGACTGAGCGGTGCAGGGAAGAGAGATGCCGGCAGCTCACAGTGCTCTCCTCCAGCACCGCTCTGCCTCCTGTGATAGTTTTTCTCCTCCCCGCTGGGACACAGAAAGCAGGGATGCACCGCTATTTCTGCCAAAACAATGACACTTTCTGCATTTTGCCAAAAGCGCCATTTTTAGCAGATATGTTACGGCGGCTGAAATTTGGTGCATCCCTAATTATAATGATAATAATGCCACTGCAAGCAGGTCATCTTGTGGAACCAATTGGAGTTGCTTGCAATGTTATCTCATGTTCAACCACAGCAGTGCCTGTAACAAACACTCCCTCAAACTGTCTATGTAGTGTTGCCACTGTACCCGTCAAACAATATGGAGGCACATGGGAAGCGCCAAATAAAAGTCCACCTCCCCTATCTTTTTCCTTTAAAAGAAAATATGCTTTCACAATGCCATTCACCAGGAACCACAAAAACATAAAATCTATAATATCCTCAACTTTTCACCATTCTGTATTCTCTAAATATACTATGGCTAAAAACTAAAAAGCCTTTCATTTAAAGTTTCTAGGTGAAAATAAAATACTTTCTCTTTATATGACCTGATCGATAATGTCACGGTACAAAAGTAATGGCAAAGTGAAGTGAACCAGCAAGTAAAGATTTTTTTTTTTGACGGTTACTCACTAGGGCATAGTGTTAATGAATTTTAGACTTAAAAGCTCAAACCTCCGTTTCAAAATCCATGTTGAGAATGCGGTCAGCTTCATCCATTACCAAGTACTTAATAGATCTAAGGTTAAATCCTTTTGTGTTTTCTAGGTGGTCAATAAGACGTCCAGGTGTGGCTGAAAAAAATAAAAAAAATATATATATTTTTAGTTAAGACACTAGTTAATCGTTAAGACAATTCAACTGCATTTCTTATTCATAGTAGTGGGTGACATAGAAAATATGCTCTATTTTCTTTTAGTTTACAAAAAAAGTTAACATACCACTCCAAATACACTTTACATTCAATATAAAAAAACTACATTATTTTCCTGAAAAAACAAAGGTTATTTTTTCCTTTCTAACTTCTACATGGAGGGGTGTAGACATAATTTTTTTATTTCTTTTTTATCACTTTTTTACTGTAGAAAATGTAGGGCTAAAATGTAGAAAATAAACACCTGCCCAGCGCTCAGAACTGCGTGTCCCAGGCATCGGGCGATCCGAATCCTGCACCTCTGTACATCTAGTTTATCAAAATACTCAAAGTTCATGCTCAAATGTGCTTTGTTTCTTTTGTGTACATAATCCATGTTGTCCTTTTCAACACTCCATGTAGCTATATAACTTCATGTTCAATTAAAAATAAAAACGTATTTACTATAAACAAAATGTAAAAAATTACTTTACCAATAACGATATGAGGCTTTTTTGCAAGAGTCAGGGCTTGTGACATCATGTCCATTCCACCTACAATAACCGCTAAGCAGTTGAATTTATTTATAGCAAAATAGAAATTCTGTACTCAAAAAATTGTTCAAATTAATTAACGGGACAAAGCTTAATTTCATTAGACATGTGGGTTTAATTCGACACTTATAGGGGGGAGACATTAGGTACAAACAAAAAAAATCTTAAAGGGCAGACACCAAGCAATGGATAAACTCCACCTCTGCTAGAAAGTTGTTGGTAGCAAGCAGTACAAAAAGCAACAAAAAATCCAAACATAGGAAGGGGGGGGGGGGGATGGAAATGAGGCTAGATACAGATCCCCACCATTTGAGAAAAGACATGTGGCCAAATGTTTTTTATGTTTGGCATTTCTCTCGGTCTTGTGAGAAGGTCCCTCACACAAGACAGAGGTCACCAAGTTTAAGCCAATATGCATTGCAACCAAAGAAGGCACCAAAACAAAGTAACTCGCAAGTCCAAAGTGGTTCTTCAAATGACAGCACGAAAAAACACAACGCAGCCAACACATTTCAGGGGCTCAGCAATCCCCTTTGGGGCTACAAAAGGCACAATATAGGGGTAATACATATTAAAATATCAATAAACAATGAATAGTCCAGTCCTTATGTAAAGCATACAATTTTAAACAGTTTCTACAGTGTCAACTAGAGGGAGCAAGATTTGTACTTAACATGAATATACATGATGACTTACAGTACATCTCACCTTAAGTGTGAGAGTCTCTGTATATTGAGCACATAATTTAGATTTTCTTAAAATATTAAACTGCTGGGTTAAGTGGATGGATCTAACAGAGAAATCAATGTAACATACAAGGACCACTTCATCCATGTTTGTTAGTTTGCTGGGACCACAAATGGCCAATACAAATTAAGATGCATTAAAAAAAAAAAAAAACAATATTATGACAATAAAATATCCACAAGCTCTAATAGAATAGATGTCTGGAACTGGATGTTCCTTGATATTAGTGAGTTGACACACACAATAGGTGTCTCTCCACCTTGGAATATAGTAGTATATGAACAGACTACACTATCCACATAATTCCAATCCTTCAGAATGCATTGAAAGTCACAGCAAATCCAGTATAACAGATAATGTATAAGTATAGTATAAAAGAGGCCACTATGAATACGCCTACAGGTGAAACATGCGAGAGGTTGTAGTTGGTTGGGGGTTTGCTGGTATTTGCTGCTTGTACACTTTTATACACCGTTATACTGTATTTGCTGTGAATTTCAATAAATTCTGAAAGATTGGAATTCTCTGGATAGTGCGGTCCATTTGTATACTACTATGGCCCCAGGACAGCCGCCAAACGTCCGAATATAATAAATGAGTAAGCCACTGGCTACAGTCTCAGATAACGTTCAACCTGAACGGAACACCCAAGCATACCATCTAAAGAAATGTCCTTAACAGGAGGACTGCACTGACCTCCTATGGGAAGGTGGGACTTAAGCTGCCACAAACAGCCCTGGGAAACAGGCAGCATACAATAGTATGCCCCAGCAATAGAGGCCCCAGGCACCAACATCCCAGCTAATCCCCCAGAAATGTGCCCCGAAGCACCAAGCCGCAGACCGTATACACCTGTACAACATGGCCGCCAGTGTACCCCCACACATCACAGACCCATAAGACAGTTGCTACCCCACACAGCATTGTTGTGGAAGGTAAGTGGGAACTGCCTAGTG